AACAAGGTGGGAAGAATATGCATTGGTGTTTGCATTAAAAACCGAATTGTGGCCATCTTGTGTTTGTGTAAATATTTTGTCGTGTGCCAGTTGGCACAGGTGCGTCCTCTTAACAGAATCTATCGCCACTGGCTCATATTACATGCCAGATTGAAATGTTTATTGTGTAATCGCATGTCTGACGCTAGAAGTACAAGCGCCTTGCACAAAAAACGCCATGCGAGGTGCTTCAAACCGGGAAATGATGCGAATATGTAATACCACTGCATCGACCATTATCGATGCAGTGATCACGATCAATCATGATCAGTTACATCGATCGTGATCGTCACTAAGCAATACCGCTAAAACTATTGTTGAGCAAACAAAAAAGAGCAGCATTTCAAAATTCATGAAGTCAATCTCAGATTGCTTCTCCATTCTTCGCATTGAGTCATAGTAGTCATAGATACAGAAAAGAATGAAGAAACCTGGCAGCGAAAGTATCGTAAAAAAATTGCATACAACTTAACGAAATGTGATTATTGCCCCTGTTTTATTTTGTGAAACCGTAAAAGAACAATTTTTAAATTTAACCCCTACGTTAATTGTGACATTGTTTGTTAACAGTCGAACCCGGGTATATCGAACTCGCCAAAAAACATTTATTAGCTCGATATATGGCATAATTCGATATAGGCCCAGTATAGGTTTGACACAAAGGCACATAACAAACTAGAAGAAAAGTACTTTATTAATATGGTGGCTTACTTGCGTGCCCTACTGTAGAACAAAATAGTCCCAGATTTTTTTTGTGTGTGTCAACGACTTCGTTGCCTGAGACAGCACGCACGCCTCCACGTAGTCCAATGAGTCGGAGCAGCTGAGGTTGCAACCTTCCACATTCAAGCAATAGTGCCGGACCAACGCAAGTGCACTAATCACTTCGGAGGATGTAGGCAATGGGCCGTCGTCGATTTCCATATTGCTGTCTCTTTGGCTCGTGGTCGGCACGAGGTCTGCAATGTAATCTTCATCCTGTAATTGGCCCATGATGGGGACATCATCGTCCGCACTGACGAACTCGTCGAATGTCGATCCGTTGATAGCACCCGGGAACTCTGCCAGCTCGTTCCAAACTTCGGCGAAAACACCTGCGGTGTCTTCAGTGCTGTCAGAATTTGGGGTGTCATCACCAGGCATGCGGAAGCCGGCATGCCTAAAGCAGTTCTGGATCGTCTCCTTCTTGACATCTGCCCACGATCTACTCAACATAGAAATAGCTCCGAGCAAGCCGATCTTAAGCTCTCTGCCGACACAAAGGTTCTGCAGCAGCCTCTTCACCAGGCGCTTCCGATAGCAAGCTTTTATTGCGCAAATAACGCCTTGATCCAGTGGTTGCAATACAGACATAGTGTTCGGGGGCAAAAAACACAGCTCGATGTTGCTGAAGGTCTCACTGCAGTGGTGCAATGAACAATTGTCCACGAGCAGGCACACCTTGCGATTTTCGCCTACCAATATCATCCCACGACGATAGCCATCTGCTGAAAAGCTCCCCGGTCATCCACGCTTTTGAGTTTGCTCGGTAGGTAACTGGAAGCGACAGTGCACTTGGAAAACTCCACGGTGCCGTGCTTTTCCTGATGACCAGAGGTCGAAGCTTTTTCGATCCGTCTAAATTAGCTGCCAACAGCACGAATACACGAGCTTTGTTTGCCTTGTTACCGCTTGTTTTGTCGCCACGACAAGACAAGTGTCTTATTTGGCAACATTTGCCAAAATAGAGCGGTTTCATCTGCATTGAAGATATTTTGGACTCTATATTTTGCTGCGATATCTTGCCAGTTTTCCTCGAGCTATTTTTCACGCTGTCCAGGTCCGCCGCTCTGTTTTCACCCGTAACAGCTTTGCCAACAATGTCGTGCTGTTCTTTGAACCGCTGAAGCCAGCCTGAACTGCCTTGGAAATCATTCCTGCCAAGCAGAAAAGCAAGGTTTTTGGATTTCTGTTCGATCATAAGGCCGGACACCGGGATGTTTCGCGACCGAACGTCCACAAACCACTTGTAAACGGCCGCTTCAACATCTTCGTACACAGCAGCGCGCACACGTCGGGTGCCACGGGCACCTGGCCTTTTGTCCGACTTGGCCCTGATGTCTGCCTTGTTCTTCAGTATAGTTCTCAAGGTGCTCCTTGGAATTTTGTACGCGGCGGGGACGTCGGACTTCTTTTCACCGCGCTCAACCCAATTGATGATTTCGAGTTTCGCGGCAAACGGCAAATTTTGCCTCTTTGCGCAAGCCATGATGACAGCGCGCCAATACAGTTCACAGAGCACCAACAGGCAACACCACGAACCACGCTTAATCGGCAGCAGCAGGCACACAAGCATAAAGAAAGAAAAAATGGCGCTCACTTCTACCGCTTCCGCGCCTCAGAGAAAGCACGATGGCCTCTGACTGGCTGTAAGCGCTGCGAGCGGGCCAGGATCATTCTTGGAGGGGGTGTTCGCCCGCGCACAACCGGGTCTACCACTTTTTCTAGGGTGGCGCCGGCAGTTTTCCCTGCCACCGCAAGGGAAAGCCAACTGTGCTGGGGCACTTTTAGGACACATGAGTTTGATAGATCAGTTGTCGTTACTATTTTTGTTCGATAAAACAGTAACTTTGCTATATATTCTCAATGTAAACTACCGTGTTTAGGAATTGTTCAATATACGGCATAATTGATATAAACGGGCTCGACTGTAGTGCAACCTTAGATACCGCGCAGAAACATCGCGTTCGAGAGATGTGCATTGCTTCTTCGTGGACTCCGAGATGAATGCAGTGGGGGGTCCAATTTAAACAACAGATATATTGCTAAGCTGATGTGGAAGCCCGCGTCTTCTCAAGTTTATTTATTAAGTTTCGGATTGTGTATTTCAACATCAATCAAGTATTTTAAAGTAATGGTTGTATGCGCAAAAATTATGGCCACTGTTTAGGAGCTACTTCCCTTGTAGCGCGGAGGCATGGAAAATAAGGGCTACGAGGCCCCATGGGTGGAGCCTATATTTACTCTTAGGTTGTCAACGACTATAGTTTCGGTTGTAAAGACTCTTTGAAGCTGATCTCCACGTATTCCTGTAAAGCTAGATTTCCTGCAACCTTCAAAATTATTTCCTACAAACACATCATATATAAATTTTTTAAAATCATATGTGCCATGCTCTTCCCCTTTCCCTTTTTTTTTTACAGCAAAAGCTATTAGGAGATCACAACTCGAGTCACGCGCCACCGTAGTTGTCTGCTGCCGCAGCCGTTGTACATAACCACATCACACGAAATTAGAAAACAAAAAAACTAGCGCCAATGACATAGTGGGGCTCGAACCTAGGTCCACTAGGTGCCAGACCAGTATGGTACCACTGAGTAACGCTGGTGCTTGGGTATCGTTGGCAAACTTGCCTTAAGCAGGCTTGATGTCGGGAAAGCAATCGTGTTAATACCACTTATAAAGCATGTTAGAACAGCGAAAGAACAACCAGTCATTGCACAATGCAAAAACCAGTTGGAGCGGTTGGAGCACAATGCGGTTGGAGCATTGGACGAGTGGGTCGTCCAATGTTCCAACCCATTAGAAAAGCTTGTTCTTGTTCATTTATTAACTGTGGCACATACTTCAGGCATAGTTCCTTGTCGTTGTCAGCCACTGCGTGAACAAGTGGCACAAAATTCGTTGCAAGTGTTTAGCGGATACCACATTTCTCAGAAGAATGACGAAAAATAGTATAGCGAATGCCGACCTACTACCCAAAAATATTTATTATTAATGCCGTAGTGGGTATTAAGCAAGTATGCTTGCAGCAATTGCCCAATGAGTGTTTAGAAAAGGCTCTGAAAGGCCTCTCTTTTAGATTTAACTGTGAGTGTGCTGTGCCTTACCTGCAGGTCTAACGTTTTTTTTTGAGCTGTGCGATTTTCGTGGGCTCGAACTACATTGGAGTCGACTTACTATCGTGTGAATACGTTTCTTGAAAACTTCGTTTCTGCAACCCTCAAACACATGTTGTGGAGTTGTAGTATCGTCTCTAGAATAATTGGCAGTCACTCCAAAGAACCTGTCATCGAGGTGCACCACTGTTCTGTGCAGCTCAGACCTCGGCATTCAAATGTGGGCAGTCTAGCGAGCCCACGGGGTGGCGTTGAGGCAAGGTCTTGACGATCCATTGTGGGAGACCTAAGGCCTAGTTGCGTTAAACTTTGCCGGACGGTGAATAAAGTTGTGTCATCCATCAACGAAGTTTTACAAGCCAGAAATGTAATTTGATTATGTGGCACACTGTAGTGTTGGGTCTGTATTAACTCTGACGCTCTGGGGTTCTTTAGTGCGCACCTACCTTTATGTACGCAGCTAAGTGTACAGAGTGAAATCCCTCGAACCCAGACTAACAAAAATATAGCTTAGGTTAACTCATTCGAACCCAGACTCGCAGCTGAATCTGGGTCTGAATGAGTCGAAGCATGAGAGAGTTCGCTGACATATGCCTACTACTACTAGTGCTACTGCTACTACTACATTACTACAACTAATACATTACTACTGCTACTACTATTTATACTACTACCTTACTAATACATTACTACTGCTACTACTACATTACTTCTCTACAACTGCTACTACTACCATCACTACTGCTAATACTTCTACTATAGTGATGATGACACCCGCCACGGTGGTCTAGTGGTTATGGAACTCGACGGCTGACCTGCACATCACGAGATCGAATCCCAGTCGCAGCAACCCCATTTTCAATACGGAGCCAAAAATGCTTGAGGCCTGTGTACTTAGGTTCACGTGCACGTTAAAGAACACTAGATGGTCAAAATGTCTGGAGCCCTCCACAACTGCGTCACTCATATTGTGGTTTTGGGGGTTAAACACCAATCATTATATCATTACTACGACAAAAAAAACGATGACAGTAGAGAGTAGACAAAGACAGCCTTGCTGCAAAAGAGATTTGCTTTACTCACCTGCTTGAAACTATCAACACAGCGCCTCTCCATCCAGGACTTGAGCGTCTCGATAAAGCAGCCTGAGAAGAGAACGCCCAGTGCCGAGCGATGGAAGCTCTGCGCCCGCAGTCGCTTGCAGAAGGACAGCAGCCACTCTTGTGACGCTGGATCCGCAACGTCAAATGTGGGGTCGAACACCACTGTACCCTTGTTGGAAGGGTTGAGGTAATCACCCGTGTCTACCGGGAGCACGCCCCAGATGATGCGGATTGGCAGTCGGTGGAAGGGGTCCTGAACACGGTAGAAAAAACAAGAAGTCATCGTCATTATCATCATCAGCAGCAGCAGCAGCAGTAGCAGTCTGACCATGCCCACTGCAGGGCAAAGTTTCTCCTGTGTTTTGCCAATCAACCAGGTCAACTATCATACATAGAAGGTAAATATATTTACTAGATGTAAATATCTATTTCGTCAGTCTGGTACACTTTCCAAGAAGGCATACAAGCCTTGCCGTGTTGAAAACATCATAACTTCGACGACGGAGCTTCTTGAAACATTGATCCCAAGGTTGCAGCTTCAATTCCGGTCATGTTACGATATAGGCGATAGTCTTAGGGCTGATTTACTGGGCAATGTCATCATACTCGTCATCATAATCATTGTCAGCTTGATTGTGCCCACTACTGGGCAAAGGACTCCCCCATGTTCGCCAGGGCCGTACCTAGGAATTTTTTTCGGAGGGGGGGGGCGGGGGTTGCGTGTAGAATGGCTGCCATTTTTTAAGATTTATACTGGCTTATTTTCGTGAATAAAACAAGTACATCGCTTACTTGTAATAATTCGATAGTACTTTTCAATTATTTGTACCCAAATAAAGAAATTGGTATGTCAACCTCAAATTCTGGTTAAAGCAAGAAATAAGTTTGGACAATAGCACCATCAAAGCCGGGGACACCGCGACCAACGGCTCCTGATGAAGTAACACAATGTAACCGCGGTACAAAAACGGTATGTATGTGTTACAAGCTGCCACTCTAGCGTCGCCAGCGCTAAGTCGGCGATGGGAATGGCAGCAGGTTAGGTCGTTCCGTACGTAAGCAGAGACAGTGAAGAGATCAGAGACGTATGTGGGGAAAAACAAAACTCTAGTGATATTGCAGCGCTGCAGAGGAATCTAGGAATATTGCAGAGGAATCTAGTACTACACTTAATACCAACTATTAAAATACATATAAAATCAATTAATCAGCTTACAAGAAAGAAGTATTACAAACTACACAAAACTAACCAACAATAAAACTACAGATGAGAAAGTCCGGAGGTATAAACAGGTGAAGGGATACCTGTGATGACGATCGGATGCCGATCGTCATCACAGGTATCACAGGATGCCGATCGTCATCACATGATGACGATTCCGAGTCCACGACGATCGGATGCGAGAAGTCAGAGAGAATTCTGGCACAACTGCGATGTCGGCGGTGTTGCAGCGCTGGTGTTTCCGGGAGGCTAGTGCTTGAAGCCGATCTCGGGCAGGTTGAGCTCACTCGAGATTCAAGTACCGATGCCTACGTTACAGGCGTTAATTTCGCGTCACAACTAGACAAATGGCTAAGTTTAGGTGGCCAGCCGACACGGAGCCACAACCACTTAAGGGATACTTCTTGATCTCCTTCTACACCATGTTGGTCAGCAACTAGACTGCTTAGCAAGGCGAAATCCTGCTCTTAAATTAACCTTCGTGTCCCCTGATTCTCGTCCTGGGGGAAAAGAGACCTCTACATGGGTCCAATCATGCACGTTTCATTGTTAGAAACTCCACCCTAAAAATATATTGACCACGTCCCTTTTTAATTAGGAGAGGGTCCTCAACTGAGCGAGAATGACAACCTGTTGGGGTTCTCTCATTGTTGGGGTTCTCTCATGTGTGGCTTGTCCACAAGCCGTTTTGCCCGTGGGAATGGTCAGTTTCCTTGGTTTCAGCCAGTGCGTCTTGCAGTCTACAGCTAGTTCGGGGTGCATCGCGTCCTTTGACGACCCTGCCGACGCCGCCGTAGGTACAAAGGATCAAACATTGGCGACTAACGTTTGAAGAAGAACACCCCATTCAGTACTTCCCTGCACTAAAGGCCAGTCTTTTCATGAACAAACGGTTCCACTGGTCAGCGGGGGAGTGCGGCACCTGTAATTTGCCGTGACGGCCGGTTGAAAAATGGCAGTCCGTGACAGCATGTATGCAAGCAAACAAACAAGTCGCCCCGACATTCCGATCCTTCTTGTTTACCATTCGCACATTCTGCTTGCTGAATAGTTTCCGTCTTGTAATCTATGAAGGCTATGCATAGGGGTTGGTTGTATTCTGAGCGTTTCTCTATTACCTGATTGATAGTATAATATGGTCTATTGATGATATGGTCTATTGTAGAGTGGCCTGTACGAAATCCTGCTTGGTCCTTTGGTTGATTGAACTCTTAATGTCGTCGTACCAATTCTATTAGCTATTATTTTTGTAAATAGTTTGTAGAGAGCGGCAAGTAAGCTGATCGGCCTGTAATTTTTCAAGTCATTGACGTCTTCTTCTTTATGAATTAACATGATGTTCTGTTCTCCCAAGATTCTGGTACCCTTCCCATGAAGAGACATTTCGTATATAAGATGGCCAGTTTCTCTAACACAATTTCTCTGACATCTTTCAGCGGGTTCGTTGTTACTTTATCCTCATCAGTGCCTTTGTTTCTTTGAATTCCTTCTATATAGTACCATACAAATTCAATTCCAGATTATCTGACCAAAACCACTGCTCACTTTGGATTTGCTTCGAACTTCACTATTCATTATTCACTATTGGCACAAAAATTCACTATTGGCACAAGCCTACAAATCACAGTTTTCAAACATGCACTACTTAGTCTTTAAAGATGTTTGAGTTGTTTTTGTAGCACCTCATCTTTCATATATAAAAGATAAAACTGTATGAGGGAGTGTATAAGGATGTTTATAAGGAGTATATTAGAGTGCATAGAAATATAGAGGAACTGTAGAAAGAGTACAAAGTTGTGCAGAGTTGTGCACAGTCGTTGCAAGTCCATGTAGAGCACGACTGTACGTCAACGAGATCACATGAATCACCGCTCTGGCATCACGAAGTGTGCCAAAAAACTGCCAGGCCTATGTAGAGCGGGCAGCCGCAGTGACAGCAAAAGCTGAAAGAGAGCTTTCAGAGCCTTTCTAAACACTCTTTGCATAACTGCTACATGCCCACTTGCAGGGCACCCACTACACCCTACTAATCATAATTTTTGTGCAGTAGGCCAGAATTCCCTAATAGGTGCTATCCTTCCTCATTCTTCTGAGAAGTGTGGTATCCACTACACACTTGCAAGAAATTTTCTTCAAATTTTTTATGCAGTCGCTGACCACGATCAAGAATCATGCCTGAAGTGGGTATGTGCCATAGTTTATAGGTCATCAAGAACAAGCTTTTGTAACGAATTGGAGCACTAGACAACCCACTCCTTATGCAATTTGCATTGTGTGATGCCTGGTTGTTCCTTTGCCGTTTTAAAATGCTTTACAGTCGAACCCCGCCACAACGAAACTCACAGGGCGCGGAAAATATTTCGTTGAAGCGAGAATTTCCTTGTAGTGAAATAAAAAAAATATAGCTGATCTAAACTAGCAGAACAAGGAACATTTATTCTTAAAAATAAAAAAAGTGTCCGCTGCTTCCTATTCTTTCCTAGCAGCGTCACGACGCGATTCACAGTCATGCATAGCGAGGCCATGGTGAAAACCACGCTACAACCGCTTTTATGAATGTACCAAACAGTTGCAATAACACGTTAACACCAGCAGCTGTCCGTCGTCAAAGTGTATCCGACAACGCCGAGATGCAGGCAGGGTATTGTGGAGGGGTGACTTTTGCCTTATTCTATGCCATTTTTATCATTTATCACTCGCGGCTAGGTGATTTGGTTGATAATACGGATGAACATTTGCTCTGATTAGGTAACACACTGGTCAAGCGCAAATAAAATGGTAATCATTGGAATCTGAAAAGGCATCGCTCCGCGGTTGCACCCAACAGCTGCGTGAAGGAAACCATGAGCAACTGAGCGACCGAGCTTCAGCTTCGGATCGTCTGCGGCTCAAAAGCAAGCCAGTGGCAAAAGCAGGGCCTGGCAGGGCAGTCTATTGCCATCGCTATCGAGCAATGGCAGTGCCCATGCTTGCTGAAAAGCGGTGGTTTCTGGCGGTTTTTACGCGTGTTTCAGGCTTCATCAATGTACTTTCAGGTTCTGAAAATGCAATAAATATCTGAGCCTGGGATTGCATTCGTGAAATTTCGTTGGAAGCAGGACGGCAGAAAAAAAAGTGTTTGTTGTGGCGACAATATTATGTATTAACTACTATGGATTGCTGACGGAGAACAGTGAATTTTTCATTGTAGTGGAAATTTCGTTGAAGCGGCGTTCAGTGTAGCGGGGTTCGACTGTATCACTCATATTAACACAATTATTCTCCGAACATGAAGCCTGCCTATGGCAAGTTTGCAACGGAGTTTCAAGCAGCGGCGTGGCTGTGCGGTAGAATACTGGCCTGGCAGCGGGGGACCCGGGTTCGGATACCGCTGTGTCCTTGGTGTTTTTATTTAACGAAATTTTTTTAATTTCATGCGATAGTGGGTATAGACATCAGTGGCGGTGATGGCAGACAACTGCAGTGCTGAATTCGACCCTTGTTGTGATCTCATAACAGCTTTCGCTATAAATGATGAGAGGTACCAAAAGAGAATAACACGCTCGCATTTTGTGTTTTGACAGACATTTTAAAAATTCCTTTAATGGAGCCTAAGCTAAATTAAAAAAAAAGCTTTCTCTACCTTCCATAAAAATTCTGTATCACCTCTAGCCATGCTTTGCACAGACTCTGTTCACCTTCAGATCTGTTCCAAAGCAAAAGCCCAAAATAGACCGTGATGACAACTTACCCTGTTGCGTGCCTTCTCGAACCAGAAGCGCTCCTTCAGATCGAGGTCGTAACGCTCAAACAGGTGGCTGGCGCTCAGTACTTGGAACTCGGGCGACTCCGGCAGACGCAGACGAGGAGTGGACAAAGATGGCCACCGCTCCGCCGGCTGCCACCAGGGCGAGCGAGAAGAAAGCCAGAACCACCGGAGCCTGATCACGATGCAGGGAAGGAGCTTGTCGTAGAAGACGCGTGCCGCTTCCGAAAGGCTGCATCACGAGTCAAGATGAATGCAGTCACATTGTTGGACTCTGCCTTTGTCAAACTGGGGTGCCTGACAAAGGCCTCGGCCTTTGTCAGGCACCCCAGCCTTTAGCCCCGGCTTCCTCTTTTGTATGAAAGGAAAATAAACTTCACTTCACTAATTAGACACTTAGCACTGTGAAGTACTGCTGAGTAGTAGGCTTGAGCAAACATTTGACCACTTGTATATCCGAATGAATAATTCTAATATTTGAATTTGATTTGATTCGAGTTTAATTTACAGAAAATTTCAACGTATTCAAAATGAACGAATAGGTGTAAATCAGTCCGACACCGCTGCGCCATGTAGCCTCTTCACAAGTGCACTTCCCGCCTGGTGCTCAACGGAACAAAGTTATAGTCCCTTGGAAGGACACCCACCCCGTGGAGAATCGGCGGCATGGAACCGCCAGAATTTCCACTTCATGGTTCAACTAACATCCACGCTCGTGCTGTGTCATCTGCCTCAGTCTTTTTTTGTATAGCCATGCTCCCAGTTACCCTCACATCAATGCATCATTTTTTAAAGTTGAAATTGTCGTACAACCTTGTATGCTCTAAGTATAGTAAATTTTAAAATGCAGTACATTTCACAGGTTGTAACTTGAATTCTACTGAAAGTGAAATTCTGCGACCATTTAGAGTTGCGTCCCCTTCTCTTGAACAAAAAAGAATTACATTTGCAAATGCGTCGTTCCGATTAAAAAAAAAAAAACACGGTTGTGCGGGTTAGTTGGTTCGTGGCAAATACGCTTATTTTGATATACCCTATTAGAATTCGATTCAAGATTATTTGACTAAATTCACTATTTGCTTTGAATTCACTGCGAATCTAAAATTTGCTACTCATGCAAGCCCTACTACTACTACTAAGCAGCAATAAATGGCTTGCAGGTGCTCGTGGATCGCTTGACTGCCATTGAACGTACAGAGAAGGAACTATTTTCAAATACACCTAAAAAGCAAGAACATAGTGAAACAATCTGCAGTTAAACAATCTTTACAGGGCATGTTAGATGCGGACTGATATACACCTATTCGTTCATTTCGAATAAACCGTGAATGAAAGCGTGGTTGACACGCGCCTCAATGCAACCTTGTTTTTCTTGCGCATCCAAAAAATGCAGTCAGGTTTGCTTGTCAGGTTTAACTTCCCGAGCCCTTGCTGCATTTAAATGCTACAAAGTCGTTCATTTATAGATGGCGTTCCTAAGCCACCTCATCAAGAATTTTTAATGCCAGAGGCAGCTACTGCGGAGAACAAGATGTTTTCGTGGCAACCATCATTGCGTTAGCTTACCAACTCTTGATTTACACCAAGACCAGCACTTTAAGCATCCCAGTACTATATAAGACATTTGATGCTGTTGTGACGACGTTTATTCGAGCAGAGAAGTCGCAACGAGGTCGCAACGGAGAGTAGGCGTACGGCAAGTCTGGCAAAGGCGGCACAAACTCTCGCGCAAGCAGAGCACGGGCTTTTCATTGTCTTCCGAAGGCGCATACGCGTTGGTGCATATGCTCCACTACAATACCCCCGGGGTGAAGGGTAGCCATCCTGGCGACTCAGGGAGTAGGCACAATGAGGGGGTCGTGGTAGGGCTTGAGACGGTCGACGTGTACGGTCTCGCGTCCTCGACGACGCAAATCTGGTGATTGTGTTAATGGCTCGATGATGTAATTCACCGGGAGGTCGCGTCAATGACACGGTACAGGACCATGGTACCGGGCCAGAAGTTTAGAAGACAGGCCAGGAAGGTGGGGGGCACCCAAAGCCACACAAGGGAGCCAGCACGAAATGTAGGAACTATGTGGTGAGCGTTGTCGTGTCGAGTCTTTTGTAGACCTTGAGCCTCACTTGTCAGAGACCAAGCCAACTGATGGCAGTCTTCAGCGTATCTGGTGACTTCCGAAAGCAAGGAGCACTCAGATGCATCAGGGCGGTACGGTAGTATAGTGTCGAGTGGGTGGGAAGGTTCGTGGCCGTACAATAGAAAGAACGGGGAAAAACCGGTAGTCGCTTGCGTCACAGTGTTATAAGCGAAGGTAACAAAGGGCAATACAGCGTCCCAGTTAGTGTGGTCGGAGGAGGTGTACATCCTCAGCATGTCGCCAAGTGTGCGGTTGAACCGCTCAGTAAGACCATTTGTCTGTGGATGGTATGCGGTAGATTTCCGGTGGATAATGTTGCATTCAGCGAGGATAGCTTGGATGACCTCCGACAGGAACACTCGACCCCTATCACTCAGTAATTCCCGCGGAGCACCATGGCGTAGAATGGAGCTGCGGAGAATGAAGAGTGCAACTTCGTGGGCGGTCGCTGCCGGTAGAGCTGCAGTCTCAGCGTAGCGTGTCGGATGATCGACTCCGACAATAATCCACCGGTTTCCAGAGATACTATATGGGAGGGGGCCATAGAGGTCTATACCCACGCGGTCGAATGGACGAGCCGGGCACGGGAGCGGCTGTAACATGCCAGTAAGGTGCCGTGGAGGTGTCTTGTTCTGTTGGCAAGTGGTGCAAGACTGAACGTATTTCTGCACAAAGTGATACATTCCTCGCCAGTAATAGCGTTGGCGCAGCCTTTCGTAGGTTTTCAGGATGCCTGCGTGAGCACATTGGGGATCTGCATAGAAATTCATGCAGATGTCAGAGCGCATATGAGTTGGGACAGCAAGGAGCCACTTCCGACCACCAGGCATGTAGTTGCGGCGGTACGGAATGTTGTCTCGTAAGGAAAAGTGGGCTGCTTGCCGGCGTAGCGCTCTCGTGGAAGGGACAGCAGACGGATCGGTAAGGTAGTCGACTAACAAGGCAAGGTATGGGTCTTTACGCTGCTCCGAAAGCATGTCAGTGGTGTCGAGTGGTGACAAGGTGGTAAAAGGGGGTGACAGAGAAGCCACATCTGGTGTTAATGGCGATCGGGAAAGTGCATCGGCGTCCGCATGCTTGCGACCGGAACGATATACGACACGGATGTCGTATTCCTGCAATCGAAGTGCCCAACACCCCAGACGTCCGGACGGGTCTTTCAAGGTGGACAGCCAACATAGAGCGTGGTGTTCTGTAACCACGTCGAAAGGACGGCCGTAAAGGTACGGGCGAAACTTCGTAAGCGCCCAGATTATGGCCAAACACTCCTTCTCTGTCACGGAGTAATTCAATTCAGCCTTCTTAAGAGCGTGACTTGCATAAGCGACTACGTATTCAGTTTGGGTGCCTTTCCGTTGTGCCAAAACTGCGCCAAGACCAACGCCACTTGCATCAGTGTGAACTTCTGTGGTAGCAGTGGGGTCGTAGTGGCGAAGAATAGGTGGCGAGGTCAGCAGGCGGCGCAGCTGGTGAAATGCGTCGTCACATGCAGGTGACCATGCAGATATACCTTTGCTGTTGGAAAGCAGACTAGTCAGAGGTGCAATGATGGACGCGAAGTTGCGCACGAAGCGACGAAAGTAAGAGCAAAGACCAATGAAACTTCTTAGGGCTTTCAGTGATGTCGGCATTGGGAAGTCAGCGACAGCTCGAAGCTTATCGGGGTCCGGAAGAACACCGTCTCTTGTGATGACGTGTCCCAAGATGGTTAGTTTTCGGGCTGCGAAGTGGCACTTCTTGGTGTTAAGTTGTAGGCCTGCAGAAGCTACTCACGTCAGAATCTCGTGGAGACGACGAAGATGTGTCGGGAAATCAGCTGAAAAGACTACGATGTCATCTAGGTAACACAAGCAAGTTTTCCACTTGTGGGCCCGCAATATGGTATCAATTCTGCGCTCAAACGTCGCAGGCGCGTTGCAGAGCCCAAATGGCATGACTTTGAACTCATATAGGCCATCCGGCGTTACAAAGGCTGTTTTAGGGCGATCACATTCAGCCATTGGCACCTGCCAATACCCAGAACGCAGATCCAAGGATGTGAAGTACTCGGCGCCTTGTAAACAGTCAAGAGCATCCTCTATTCGTGGTAGCGGGTAGACATCTTTCTTTGTAATCTTGTTTAAAGCGGCGATAGTCCACGCAAAATCGAACGGTGCCATCTTTTTTTCTTTATCTTTATCAGAACCACGTGTGACGACCAAGCGCTTTGAGAAGGCTGTATGACTCCACGTTTAAGCATGTCATCTACTTGCTCCGTAATGACGCGGCGCTCTTCAGCAGAAACGCGGTAAGGACGCTGTCGCAGAGGCGAATGTGAGCCGGTGTCAATAGTATGAGTGACAGTCGTGGTGCGGCCCAAAGCAGGTTTCTGAAAGTCGAAAGAAGAGCGAAACTTGTTAAGGAGAGCAACAAGTTGGCTGCGATGCGAGGGGGGAAGGTCTGCGTCAATAGCATTGTCGAAGGCTGGCGAGCTTGATGGCTCAGACGCCTGAGTGGTTGCGGCAATGTGACATGGCGTTTCATCGGGAAGAATAATATCATTGATATGGTCGACAGGTTGCACATATCCTAACGTTTCACCACGAAGCAAGCCAAGGGGTAGTTGCAGTGGTTGGTAACCAGCATTACGGTTGAACCAGACGCAATCGTAAGAACGGCAAATGGGAGCACGATGCCCTTGCGTTCAGTAAAAACAGGGGATGGTGTAAACACCACCGTGGCGTCAGGTTGCGCCACACATCGAAGGCTAATAGGGACTGAAGCTTCCGGAGGCGAGGTGATGTCGTCGTCAGCGATGAGTTTGCAGAGCAGTGGTGAATGGTCGGGCGATGGAAATTCACAACTTGGCACTAGGGACACTTCCGCACGGCAACAATCGATGATAGCTTCATCGACCTGATAAGAAATCCCAACCCAGGATGAGGTCATGAGAGCAAGATGATAGTACGAAAATGGACGATGTACAAAACGTCTTGGATGACAACGCGCGCCGTACACACAGCCGAGGGCTGAATGCGTTGTGCGCTAGTTGTGGACAGCACGATGCCACAGAGAGATGTGGACACTTTCTTCAGTTTGCGACAAAATTTTGCGTTCATCACAGAAACGGCGGCCCCAGTATCAATTAACGCTTGTGTGGCGACTCCCTCAACATTGACATCAACAACATTTTGCAGGCGAAAATGGAGGCCTTGATAATTGCGCAGAAGTTGCAGTTCTTGCCTCTGGAACTGCACTGATTAGTTTCCCTCCTCAGGAAGTGGTCTACGACGCATAGGAGATGGCGATCGGCGACGAGGAGATGGGAAACGAGAAGTTGATGGGCGACTGATCCGAGTCAGAGTGCCTCTGTTCATATGCAGACGTGGTGGCCTGCTGCGACACATAGGTAGGAGTTCCAAAGGAGGCGTACGCAGGTGTGGGACGGCGGCGGCAGTAGCGTGCAATGTGGCCAGCGATGCCACACGCGAAGCAGATAGGACGGTTGTCATGGGTGCGCCACTCATTAGATGGACGGAAAAAGCGAGGTGAGGGCCTGTAAATCGGAGGCGCTGCCGGAGGAAGGTGGAGCCGATAAGGATACTGGATGCAGTGGGGGCCAGCGCAACCACAGCTGCATAGCTGAGAGGTGAAGATCGGTGCACGGTGGTGTGTAGCTGACAGCTGAGAGATTAGATGCTGCTGAAGTGCATGCGTAAGGAGCCTGCACTGTAGGTAGGACATCGCAAATTTCAGTGCGTATGGCCTGCTGCAGTGTCGAAGGCAGACTTGCGGTGGGCGCGCCGCTATGCGGCAGCAGGGAGAGCTGTCGGGCGACTTCCTCCCTGATGAAGTCTTTGATCTGGTTGGAGAGACTTTCTTGGCGAACGTTGGCATTTTCGAGTGCGACAGCCGAGATCGAATCTGGTGGTGAGACACTCTGTCGGGCGATGGAACGCTGACGGCGTAATTCATCGAAGCTCTGGCACAGGCTTACGAGGATTGCCACTGAGGTCGGGCTTTTCGCTAGCAACATCTGGAATGCGCCATCCTCAATGCCCTTGAGAATCTGCCGAATTTTCTCTTCTTCGGGCATAGATGGGTTAACACGCCTGCAGAGGTCGAGCACATCCTCAATGTAACTCGTAAACGTTTCGCCAGGCTGCTGGGCTCTGTGGCGCAGACGCTGGTCAGCGCGGTGCTTGCGGACCTCTGGTCGGCCGAACGCTTCAGTTACGAGGGTCTTAAAGAAGGACCAGTTGGCGATGGCGGTTTTGCGGTTGGTAAACCAAAGCTTAGCTACGTCTGCCAAGTAAAAGATAACGTAGGCGAGCTTAGAGTCGTCGTCCCACTTGTTGCTGGCGCTTACGCGTTCGTTCAAGGAGAGCCAGTCTTCAACGTCTTGCTCACCACTTCCGCTGAAGTTTGGTGGGTCCCGCTGGTGAGTAGCGCCGGGGCAGGTAGACGGGGCAGCCGATGGTGCTGGCTGAGCTGGAACGGGCTGGTTGGTGACTGCGTCAGTCATGTTTCGCGGTAGTTTTTCAGGCAACTTGCAAGAGCGGAGCTCCAGGTCTGCTTGGGGATCTCAGCAGCCTCCACCAAATGTGACGACGTTTATTCGAGCAGAGATGTCGCAATGAGGTCGCAACGGAGAGTGGGCGTACGGCAAGTCTGGCAAAGGCGGCACAAACTCTCGCGCAAGCAGAGCACGGGCTTTTCGTTGTCTTCCGAAGGCGCATACGCGTTGGTGCGTATGCTTCACTACACTGTGTAAAGCTTACCTCAGTGGCATTCACCACCCGTACATTTTTAACATCATGATTAACACTCAGACTACGGAAGATGCTGCTGTGGAGTGCTGTTAAGCAGACTTGCTTTACAAATATCACAATTGAAGTTTTGTCAAACTATTGGGAACCTGTTGAGTACTGTTTGGAGCCATGCAGACAGACTGGCAATGAACTTTATTAAGAAGCCATACAGCCACACGAAAAAAATATCACAAAGTGACATGAATCAGCACAATGAAAACTTCCATTTGCTGTTTCAAATAACAAAAACTTGTTTGTTTTTTTCTTAGTCTGTGCCATTGCATAATAGTGGTCATAATGTGATATCGTGCCTGCATACCTGATTCAAAGCTCTCTGCTACAGCATTCCTCATAAAATCCCGTGCGATTTTATGACATGGAACCCCACGATTAAAAGATTTACTGATGTCACATACTTGGTATTATAGTAATAATAGTAGAGGTACCACGTCAAAAAACCACTGTATCGTTATGGTGACAGCGGAGGGCTCGGCAAATTTCAATTACCTGGGGTTCTTTTGCACCTAAATATTCACACAGATGCCCCTAAAATGTAGTCTCCATCGAAATGTGGCTCTTGCAGCTGGAATTCGAGCACCATAAACACTAGGCTGCAACGGCAAATAGAACCTCAGTAAACTTGGAGGAATCGATGAAGAGTTTCCAGCGGCGCCAAACTTTTTTTTCCTTCATAGCTCACACTCCTATAACAGCTAGATATTTTAACTTGTTAGGCCGGTTTCCTTTTCAGTTTCTGGCTCGTGTGCATGACACGTCGAGCAGTGGCAGTGCAATTTCTTCATCGTCAGTGGAGACGCTGGTGGAAAGTTACAGATTCCTGGCGGATCGCTGAAGTGGATTTACCGACCTGTGGTGGAGGCGCCACAATGCGGCGCAGACTGGTGCGCAGCACCAGAATCGCTTGAGCCTGGGCAGGTACACGCCGAAGGGGGGCACGCACAGGCAGCACGTGGAGGAGCACCACTTCTCGGCCACAATGAGCGCCGCGGGCAACCACGTGACCGTGAAAAAGAAGCTCGCCAGCACGGCCGTGCCGGCAAACAAGCTGAAAGAGGAAATAGAGCAGGCAGCGGCTATTACAGTAACTGTAGCAGTGTGGGGATTTAACTAGTCAATAATAATGATGATAATAATAATAACTAGTCACTAATAATATATATAAATAGTAGATAACAAGGAAGTCGTGTTGCATTCTACAGTGCATGTAGGCGATGAGACATAAAACCTAAGAATAAATGCACGCTCCACTCACAGCTACTGCTGTCCCACCCAAAGAAAATTTGCATAGACAACTCATCCAATGGCGTGTGCTCATTTCTGTGACATGAGGTACCTTTGCAGGTGTTTTTTTTTTTTTTTGTATAGATGCGTTAGTGTTGCTAATTTTTGGTCGAAGTACTTGGGACTTCCTGGCAGACTTCAGAAAACGTTTCGACATCATTCTAGGGAAATTGCAATGTTTTCAGTAGAGATGATGACCTTCTAATTATTAACACGCATTATATTTAATTTAGCAATGAAAAAATTACGGCATATTCACGGGGTGAATGATGATGAATGGGCGAAGCTCCGGAGGGATTCATCGGTAAACTGTGAATCTTCCGTGTAATTCGCCCAGTCGATCATCATGTAAAGACGTGAGAAACGCTGTGTGTGTATATACACAAATCAACTTTTATTTGTTCTTAGATGATGGATAACTTGCGATGTCCCTTGCCTCGCGCGCTCGCACATCGGGATTCTGTCTGCGAGCGCGCGCTGCTGCCGCCTTGCGCTCTCTCCGCTGTGCAGCCTTATCCATCCGGCGACTCCGAGTGCGCGCCAACAGCGAACGGATTTTATTACAACGCTCCCCCTAGCGTACGTCGCCGCACTAAATGGAACGATTGCCTTCAACCAATGACACGCGCCATATGTGACATCATTCCTATTTTATAAGATCTCGCGTCTTTCATCAACTACAAGTACCGCTTTCTAGTTTATAACATCTTGCATCTTTTCATCATCAGCTACAAGTACCACCATCTAGTAAACACTACAAGAACTAAACGAGAGGTGGCTACATACAGGAGACGGTACCGCCATCTAGTGAACACTGCAAGAACTAAACTAGAGGTGGCTACATACAGGAGACGGTACCGCCATCTAGTGAACACTGCAAGAACTAAACTAGAGGTGGCTACATACAGGCTACAGGGGACGCACAGCCCACGCCCTAAGGAGCTTCGCCCCTAAAAATACTTGCGGTTACAACAAAAACCACCTAGCACGTCTCTCTTGCACAGATAATTGGCAGGCCCACCACACTTGTGGGGGTGGAGCTTGTACAGTATGCACAAAGTGAACGGAAACCTTCCGATAGAGTTCGTGCTTACATGAAGCAACTGCTTCTAATATGACTAATTTCACAACTGAATTACCCGTGCCTATTCCTATTGCAGGAAAAGCAACTCTAGTGAAATGGAGCGTACTTTCCTGATCCACTGAGGTTCTGTTTACCGAGGGTTTACTTTACTTATTCTAAGGTTGTAAACACCTATGGTATCATTGTTCTGTTCAGATTGACTATTGATCTGGTCTAAATGAGAAAAGTTGTGCTCTTGTACAAGTGCACAACTCTCGCACCCTGTTGTACAAAACGAGGTGTCATCAATGTTACAGAGTGACCGTCACTGTTGCTGCATTCCATCATCAACGCACCCAAAGCAGCGGACAGCGGTAATGTTGCTGACGCAGCTGGCGAAGAAGGCAGCGGCCGTGGTGACACTGGTGACCAGCATGGAGAGACAGGCGTGGTGCAGCGTGTCCCGGACTAGCTTGACCAGCGTGCCGCTGTTTTTCTCCGCCTTGGCTGCCCCCCACGTCTTGCAGTAGATGAAGGCGTCGTCCGCTCCAATGCCTGTGGCAGACGCGTGGGAAACAAAGGAAAAATAAATTGTATCACCAAAGTTGGCTCCCAGTAAGATTAATTTATCAAAAAATATAACGAGTGCTCACCAAGAAGCAAGGTAGTACCACAACATGAACGCTTTGTAGTTAAAGACACATCAGTTTCTGAGAAGTTGACATTACCAAGTCATGTTCATGTCGTTTTCTGCACTAGAAGGAGAAAACAACTGGTACCAACTAACTTATGATTCTGTAATTTTTTGCAAGAAACATCAAAAGACAAGTTTCCGAAAGCTAGATGTTTCGATCATAGTTAAGTTTTTTGTCAATTTATAACGCATTTACTACTCGGGGAAACGTTTCACATCTATCGATGTGCTTCTTTCTTGCCGGACAGTTTACCATTGATGTCTTGACTATAGCATGACATTCATCCACATTTGGTCAGCAACATCTGTGAGTGATAATTCAACTGTCACCTTCACTGTGTCAGGCAGGCCAACACTTAGTTCTGGTTAGGCAACGTCATTCATTCCAGTTATTCCTACACTGGGAGTGATTTTTCGAAGAAAGCCACGTTTAACTTGTCTGTCCTGTAGTCACATCAGAAATGATTCAACTGACATTTGTTTTATTAACTTTATCACAACCATTATCACGCTTACAATAATAAAGCGCTGGTCTAGTTGCTACGGATTCAGTATGTACACTCGAACCTCATTATAACAAACTTGCATCTTACATAAAAGTAAGTTCCTTATATCCAAAAATTTGTTATAAAGGTTTATTCTTAACACTAAATATATTGCGAGACTATTTTTCATTTACTTTGTTATAACTAATATTTTGTTATATCCGGATTCGTTATATCGAGGTTTGAGTGTATCTGTGTTTGCATGCCCTGTTTTTTAAGAATGACTTTTTCATGCCGATTCAACTTTGAAAAGTCAGATCCTGTTTGAAACTAATGGCATTTCACCAGGTTGTGATCACCATTTCAAAATCAGCATCCCCACGTGTTGCTTTCGCACACATTGTCACATTGTTTGAGCACGCATTCAGCAGTACCACGTGCTAATTTACAGCAAGACTAACGTTTTTGGCGTCCCAGGAGCTAGCACAGCTGCAATGAATTTGCATACGCATTTGCACAAGTGCATGTACATATACACATGAAAATTTAACAATTATGGAGTGTAGAGGGGGAGCAAACTCCCAGCCACCCACTGTCCATGCCAGTGATACAAGATTCTGAGATATAGGCACCAGTTATATAACTGATATATATTTAGTGCAGCAGTCTCAAACATGTTTAAAGGCTGACTATAATGAACGTGGACCAAAAAAACAAAAGACAGGATGCACGTTCTGTTTTTCGCTCATCCTGTCTTTCGCTCGTCTTTGTCCGTGCTCAATATAAGCTTTTAAAATGAATGTAAACCAACTAGCCCGACTCAGTGCCTCATCTCAAACATTTGAAACATACTAACGGCGCAAGCGAGCAAAACCAAAATCAGCCACAAGCTGCCATATTACCTGCAGAGCGTCACAATTGTGTGTAAGTCCTGCCTCCATAGTGTTCTCTTTAATGTCAGGATAAAGATGTCACCGAATATAGCAAATACAAGTTAGATGCTCCTCATCTGGTGTCTGCCAGTGAAAATGTACACTCAAACCTCATTATAACAAAGTTGAAATCTCACGCAAAAATAGGTTTGTTATATCCAGAAATTTGTTTTAAAGGTTTATTCCTAACACTGTATTGCAAGACTATTTTTAATTTACTTTGTTGATTTATATGTGGGGTTTAACGTCCCAACACCACCATATGATCACGAGAGACGCCGTAATAGAGGGTTCTGGAAATTTCGGCTCCCTGAGGTTCCTTAATGTGCACCCATATATGAGCACACGGGCCTACAGCGTTTTCATCTCTATCGAAAATGCAGCTGCCGAAGCCGGGATTCGATCTTGTGACCCGCTGGTCAGCAGCCGAGTACCTTAGCCACTAGACCACCGCGGCGGGGCCATTTACTTTGTTATAACGAGTATTTCATTATATCTGGGTTCGTAACATCGAGGCTTGAGGGTGTAGCATTCCATCTCACCTATGGCGATGGTGAGCGTGAGGACGTTCATGAAGGGGAAGAAGGAGATGCGGAAGACGGTCGTGTACAGGAAGTACGCCGTGCCCAGGGAGAAGACGACGGCCATGCACGTGACAGCCGTCACCAGGAAAGACTGCGTGTAGGCCCACATGGCCGCCAGCACTGTCACACCCGCCAGGGCCACGTACACCGTGTCGTGCAGGAGGTACTCGTCAAACAGGGCGTGCTTCAAGCCTAGCTCCATGCCGACCACCTGCACAGTGAAAGACGGAGAGGTTTTATAGCGAAAGCTGTTATGAGATCCCGACAAGGGTTGCTTTCGGTGCTGTAGTTGTCCGCCGCCACCTCTGGTGTCCACAAGTACTGTTGCTCAAATAAGATAGAAATAAGCAAAGATGAAATAATAAAAATAATTATGCTGGCATGGGGTTTGAACATGTGCCCTCTTCGTGGCAGCCCAGTATTCAACCACAGGACCACGCCTGTGTTCGAAATTCCTTCACAAAAATACTCTAAATAGGCGTCATGGTGGGCAAGAAATGACATTAACGTTTAATGTAGTGTGCTAGAAGAGCGAAATAACAATCAGGTGTCACACGATGCGAATTTCGTAACCAAACTTCACTCATTATTAATAGTATAACGAGTGGGTTGTAGGATGCTTCAAATCAATTACAACGAGCTCAGCCATAATTCATTATTGTCATAAGTCACCATATTACCAAAGTGAGCGTAATGACTTGCAAATGCATAGCGGGTACTTGGCTTTTCTGCTGAATGACGAATAATTGCTTCCCGACTTGAAGAAAACTGTGAAATGGCGAAGGGGGTACTTTGCCAAGTGTACTTGTATTATTAGCCTAAAGGGAGTTCACAGCAGGTTTTAGAAATGCCACTCTTCCAGCTTTCGTTGTGACTGCACAATGCTGTCTGTGTAGGTCTGGCGTTTTTTTTTTAAGGTCCGGTACCCAACTAAATCTTCTTCTAACAAGTAGAATAGAGGCACTATGAACAGCAAGCAATAGGCCAAAATAAAAAATTATTTCACCAAAATATTCTGAACCCTTTGCTGTCCCAAACCCTTTTCCATCTTTTGTCTATTATGATCCGAAACTAGAAGATTCAAAGCTCAAGTAAAAGTACCTTACCTTTACTTTTACAATATGTGCCATCTTTTACAGATTGCACATAACGTAGTGAAAAATGCATGCACTAAGTAACCGTCAAAAAACTTTTGGAGCCGTACCCGACGGTAGACTGCTGCGGTCGTATTGCGTGGTCGAGCAGGGGCGGACAATGGACCGCAAAGGATTAAAATTAGAACTGTGTGAATAACCAAATATTTGGTGTGGAGTGAGTTCAAATAATGAAGTGTGAATTGAATATTTTAAATATATTTCTTGAATACTTCTATAATATTTTTCGAATGCTTCAAAATAAAATTGCAGGATAAAGTTGGAGAGGATTCCCAAGTATATTCTTATGAGATGGCAACATGAAAGTGTTCTTTTGGCTAGGTTGATGAAGCGCTAGCGGGGTGGTGTTTTATAGTTGACTTATCAAGAATAAGGCAATGCAGAGGTCAAATTTTGTTCTTAGGTATTCATACCAAAGCTGATGCTGACTGAGTTAAAATAGGTCTGACACATACAAGTACAATGTATACTGCATACATTCTTTCTTGGAAACTCGCAACGAATCGATTTATTGACTGATTGATTTACTTGACTGACTCATTGAGTGAGTGGTTCAGTTGTAACTACTTCTGTTAAAAAACAGCACCTTGTCACAACCTTCTGCAGCCATGCCTTCATTAAATTAGCCTGTTATTACGCATTATGTGCTGTATACATTAGGAATGATAAAAACTGATTGAGTGAATGGGGGAGTGACTTGCACAAAGGTGCGACTTATAACCTGAGAAACAAGGTAAGTGCCATCCCCAAAAACAGGGTCAGGCCCTGTTGGCACCTTGCCTGAGTTACATTACCTGAGTTACATCGCATTACCTGAGTCACATCATCTTCCAGGTGGCCGTACTCCTCTAGATCCTTGAAGTAGGCCATGGCCATGGTGCTCTGCCCCAGAGGCAAAAACACACTGGTGTAGGAAAGGTGCGGTTCCCGGACCAGCCTACCCTGACCGGACTGCGCAGACGACGAGTCATTTTGCCTGCTGCCTCCACCATCCCAGTCGTCGATGAGCTCGTCGCTGCCGTCCCCGCGGTTGTCAACAGGCGCGAGGAAGTCAACGTCGGCCAGGTAGTGGAGGATGGTGTACACGGCGTTGTACTCGATGCACTCGGCGGGGACTCCGCGGCACAGCCGAGCCCCTGAGGCGCAGTCGTGGCTCAACTTCATGCTGTGGTAGTGCGGCGCACAGGCCTCCAGCCTCTTGAGAACCTGCATTGATGTGTTTATCTATCTCTGACCACGCTTTTCTATATATGAAGAAAAAATAATCTGATATGGTATAGCCAGAATTTTTTTTTTTGCTTGGCACAATTACAGGACTCAAGCATTCAAACACATTTTTGTTTTCGAATAACGACTTCTATTAGCAATCGGTCACAACAACTGCATCATGTCACTACATATCTGGCCACTAACAGCAATGTTAGCTCTAATGTATTAAGTATTGGAGTCAAAATTATGCTGATCTGACTCAAACTGTCATTGCTAAAAATGAGAGAGTGTGCATCACATGTTACGTCTTGCGACAGACGTGCTGAAAGGATCAGACCAGTTCCAAGCGAACCATGTTTATAAACTCGTGCTTGTGGATTCGTGGCCCGGGAAAGAAGGGCTGCGGCTAGCAAGCAGCACTCTGTTTATAACACTCAGGGGCACAAGAGCACCTCAGACTCTTATTTATTTGAGCACCAAATGGCACAACATTACAAAGCTCTAAATTTTTGCATTTCAGTTTGCAAGCTGTGGCTGATGATGATAAATTACACACCAGCGCCGCATAATGGGTTGCTGCTTCTCCTATTTGACGTACGAAGCACGGAATCGATTAGGAAGAAAGAACGCATGACAGAAAAGATGCTGTTCTTTCCACCCAACCAGTTCTGCGCTCCCCTATGCAAAAAGTCAAACCAACTAGCCCAACAAGTGACCATTTTGAGACTGCTCTCAGCATGCCAAGAATACTATTTGTACTAATACCCGTCAAACATGCTAGTGACACGTCACCTGGACTTGAACACATAGAGCTTGCAGCACTTATCCAAATGCAGGACCCCTTGCACAGCTATGGCATAAGTCACTGTTGTAACAGTAGTCGGGGGGTGATGCCATGGTTTATTTCTTAATTGTGGTTGCACCTATGACAAGTGATATCCTCTATGGAGCCAGCGAGGCAGAAAACATATGCGTTGCTCTTTGACTATGCTTTCTTTTGGGAGAAGGTGATGGGGGGGCAAAGGGGGGGCAGGTTAAAATGGAGGGGGTGCTCCTCCCCCACGTGACACACCCCGAAATTGCCCCTGACTGAACTATTTGAATTTTGTTTATTTATTGACACCGTCAGCCCTTCAGGGGCTATAACAAAAGTGGAGTAAAATTATATTAAATAGGAATGTGTGTAAGAGGAACACGAGAAAAGGAACTATCACTACTGAAATGCATACAATTTTCATAGCACCCATCAAAATACATCCATCAAATCTATGATAATTGTGAGGCATGTAATTTAAACAATGAAGTTCATTAATGAAACAAGAATATAAAGCACCATTGCTGAAACATATATCCTATTATGACACATATAAAAAACACAAAATAAATGTCATAATCTACTTAAAAAGCAAGTACTTTGCAAATCGTATCAATGTTAGCACATAGTATTTAGGTACACTATGGAATTTATGGCTTCTAAAAACAGAGAAATTTAATTTTCACAACTGAATGCGGCAAAGAATTCCTCAGCTGATTCACCCTAGAGAAAAGGCTGTACCTTAAACAGTCATTGACTCATTATAAACCTTGTGGGGTGGTAAACTTCATACTGGCAGTCACTTATGGAGACGAACAATGCCTCTTTGCTACTTACAAGGGACAACAGTGAAGTATCATTGAAGAGAGTGGAGTGAAAGGAAAAACAGAGGAAAAGAGAAGTCACCTTTGTCAAAAAAGTATTCACAGCGTTGAGCACCAAGCGGGGGTACTTCTTTCCCCATCAGCGAAACCGGTAAGTTCCCAGTGCCACTGGGCATCGAACCTAGTATACTTGCAGCTTAGGAGGCCGACACTCTTACCGCTTGAACATCGCTGCAGTGCGTACATGCTGCAACGTGCGCCCTTAAATTACCAATAATGCTTATAGTCGCGTCTGCCGTTCATAGAGGAGGTCCATGCATGGCGTGAGCGTTCATACTTGTCCGGATAACTGGCAGCGCAGGAACACACAACAGACGGAGATATAGAATCACGCAAAACGAGCGCTCACATAGTTCTTTCTTTGTATGTTGTGTGTTTCTGCGCTCCCAGTTCACTGAACAAATATGAACTACCTTTTGAGCCTGTGGAATGCGGGCTAAAAGGGTAAACGATTCTGGGGTTGTGGTCGTACGAGCAAATATCATGATACAATTCAGAGGCATGTGACAGAGGGGACATTAAGATTAATCCTGACTACCTGCGGTTCATTAACAGGCTCCTCAAGGGGAAACTGAAGCAAAACGTCGATTGGTTAGATTGATCGTCTACCTGTGTTTGAGTATACCACCGCTTTCTTGCATGCGAATAAATGACAATTTTTATATTGAAAACAGCTATTGAAGGTCTCTAGGTGCCACTGCTCGATTTGAGTCACCTGCATCGAATGGAGAACTTGACGTCCTCACCTCGGCTGCCACATTCTGTGAGTCAGCGGGCACCAGAGACCGCCATGGCTGTAATTTCGGGCACTTACTGCACCTCTATTTATTGCCAATGTTTGTGCAAATCACTTTCTATTCGTAAGCCACTCAGAAATCAGAAAAAATGATCAGAGACCATTTATTGATGTACCCAAGCCTGACAGAGGGCACGCCTTAAATTTCTCAATTGCGTCATTTTCTCACTCACAAGTGCCCTGTTCTCAAAAAGAATAACAAACCAATGCCTCCTCTAGAAAGATGTCTGCAACGTCGCATGCTTTACCATGAAAACGGGAGGTTCCTCGTAGTTCAGTATTTTCTCCGCAAGAAGCGCTCACAGCTGACACCACTATTCCAGCTCGATTCAGAAGTTATGCCATCACAAATACACAACCGTGTTGCCTCCAAGATGACAGTGGACATTGCTTTAATCTCAGAGGTGGCACAGTTTAAACTGATTCAAAGCGGCTACCGCGGTGAGCGCTCGCAGCCGGCACTGTTTGGGGGAACGGAGGAGGAGAGAACATGAGAGGATCGGGAACCAGCTCTTCGGCTCAAGTCGTAGGCATCTTTCCAGAGGAGGCGTCGGAGAAACTCATCCTTACACAAGCTCAATCTTTTCACCTAGCTCAACTTATTATTTCCCTTTCAGTCCTCTTAAAAGAGCCATGACACCCAATTTTCAGTTGTATGTTAGTTAATCACTGTGGGTTGACAAACAACCTGGCAAAATTTTGGTGCATTTCGTAAAGCACTTAATTTAAAAACAAATAATTTTCATATACATGCAAATGGCCTCGCGAGCCGTGATGTCGCAAGCTGTAGCTTTGCGAGTGTCTGTATTCTAGGGAAGAACGAGTTGCAGGAGAGGCATTTTTTCCCCTCATGCCTCACTGCCATTTGCACTCACCCAAGCTACACACCAGTGCTCTCTCTCTCCCCCAGCGGCAATGCTACACTGGTTGGCAGCCCCCCCAAGAGGAAATCCTGCTGACGACCATGCAGAGAGTGATTTCTTAGTGATTTCTTTTCGTGATCAGCTGCGCATGCAGCTGAGCTATTTCAGCTTGGCTCCGCTTAGAATTGAATGATTAGCAGGAGTTTAAATTTTGGTAGAAGATGAATGCTCGGCGCTAGATGCAGTACATGACGTCATGCACGCCACGACAAAAATGGGGGTCGCTTGCGGTGGGAGGGGTTTAAAGTCAGCAACTTCTAGAGCTTATTTTGAGATATTCTCCGACATTGAAATATTCTCCTACAGATCATTTTACATGTATGTATAGGCAAAATTAACCCTCTACTTCTACTTTTTCTTGTTCGCCTCGGTTACAGTTATGGTTGCGGTGTTTGGACGCTGGCCTAATGGTCATGAAAGTGGCATTCCAAGGAAGCGAAACGCTATATGTATAGGTTCGAATACTGTGCGATGTCAGGGCACGCCAAGGAACACCAGATGGTCAAAATTTCCGCAACCTTCTACCACGATGCCTCACAATCATACCCTGGTTTCGGGACATAAAACCCCCAGATATTTTTACTCTATTTTTCATTTCAAAATGCTAATGGTAGGGTGAACGTGCCATCCCCTTTTAACGAAGTCCCACTCAAAATTCGATATAACGAACCCAGCATAAGGAAATATCAGTTATAATAAAGTACAAAAAATATTCTTGCAATAGTTATAGTGCTTGGAATACACCTTTAAAACGAATTTTCGGATATAACAAACTTACTTTCGAGTAATATAGAACTTTATTATAATGAGGTTGGGGAGGGGTTGTATAAGTTTTGGAGATTGCAAAAAATGTTGCCTTTTAAGAACGACAAACCTTCTGGACGTCAGTGGCCGTGATGTTCATGCACGAAGACCGGTTGGGCAGCAGCGTGATGAAGTGCGGTATGGACCAGGAAGTGCAGCAGCGATGTGGGCTGACACGCTCGCAGATGGGTCGCAGGCTGTCGGGGCGTCGGAGAACACCCAGGTCTGTCCGACAGATGGAAAGCAGCGCCTCCAGCGTGAACAGGTTCGCTCCGAGAACCGCCGGACCGAAGACCACGTGCCCGTGGTTTGGAGCTGAGAGGCGTGAGAGCGACAACTTTGAAGACTTCCACTGGGCGGGTCGGTTTATGCGTGTATGAAGGGTAAGCTATACCTGTGTAATTACCACGAGTTTCACATTGGAGCTGTTATACTTTTCGTAATGGCGTTATGCACTTGCAAAAATTATCATCACCACGAATGGTCTTTAGCACTCTCCTAGCAAATGCACCGCACAAACTCAACTGGAGCGCACTTCCTTCGGCCTCGTCTTTGTCTTCCACTTCGCTAAACGAACGCGGGCACCTGGCATGCACTCTCACACTGCGCAGATTCCTCCTGCGTTGGATGCCAAAGCTTGGATGGTCAAGAAAACAAGCACAGAGAGAAAGAGAAAGACAGAGAAATATAAAAATTCTTGGCAGAAAGAAATTTCTTCACAACGAGAGAACATTGTCAAAATGTTTTTACAGGCAGAGCGAAATATTGATAATATTATAATAACATAATAAAATATGACTTCAGCGCTTGTCCTGAGTGTTCTTTTGTGGTGTAACGTCTAATTTGCACAGTTGTTACCTTTAGCGAATATGCGACCAGCTAGCCCAATGACTCGCACTTCGGCAATATGATTTTTAGGGGTGAAACATTCGGTATGGCAACAAACTTGGTGACCCTTCTCCACAATGCATTTCTCGACACTCCCAATCAGCAGTGAGAAACAAAACTATCTGTCAAGCGCGGTAGACACTTCAACACCATGCACATTCTCAGAAAATATAACTGACAAGAAAAACAACATCGAATAATTAAAACAAAAAAATATGGGTGACACATCGATGGGACGTTGTAAAACCACTGGCAAAGTGGCAAGCCAACAAGATGCATATTATCAGGGAATTTAGAGTAAAACTTTTGTATAAACTTGAAGGGACCTCAGCAAAAAATTTATTAAATAGTTCGCTGAACTGACACAGCTACATTGCAGCTCGTCACCACAAGTTGAGTGTAAGATCGAGCGTTCAAATGAAATTACAGCCCATTTATTCATCATGCTACATATTTGCATTCAAATCTACGCTTATTGAGGCTCTTGTGAAAGGTGCAGCAGTCTTTTATGGCAGTTGGACACTTAAGGCTGTAGTCATTATGAGTCATTGTCACCTTCCACAGCAGAACTTTGCTAAGCAGAAAAGGACTTCAGTATCTCTATACTCGCGGAAAACTTTTTTTGGTAATGAAGGGAAGGCTACGGAGCCAAACTGGGCATGTGCCACCACAGAAGAATATAATTCCAAAATTGTGTTCGCATCTTTAGCGTGAAAATCATAAAAAACAACAGTACCTTATTTTCTCTGGAATGTTGTTTATAAAGAGAGGCAGTGCACAGCAAGGATATATTCATAATTATTTTACTTCACGAAGCATCATTTCGCATTTCTGTATGTGTGAAAACATAGCACGTTTTAGGTACACTGTCAAAATGGCGTCTTCGTCTTTCGATGAGTGCATGTTCCCATCCAGCTATCATGACAACTCGTTGACAAAGCGTGTGACAAATTTCACTCGCAAATGGCTGTCTAAGCAGACATAGTAAACTGAATCCAGTGTTGCTATTTAAGACCGGCCATCATTCAAAGCATGAGCCGAACCGGACTACTTGGTGGAGGAGTACAAGTAGAATAGCTCCACCCCTGTAGCTTTCCCTTCATTGCCAAGAAAACTTGTCCGGGAGTATAGGTGCATCATCATGCTTCTGCATAAAATACCCGGAGACATGGGGATTTTATTCGGCACTCATGACAACCATCACGTGGTTGCAGGTATAGGCGTGTAGCTCCCACGGCAATTATCAAGACTTCAACAATTAGCTCCCATGATACACCGTGTGGAGCTGATAGCAAAGGCCATCATGAAACTATGCAACAAAAACAGAGGTTGTACTTGAACATGATCGACCTGACCTCGAAGAATTCAGATGGTGTCCCAGAAGATGTTTGCAGAACTTAAGTATGCAGTGAATTTCCTTGAACTGATGCAAATTAGCATTAGGTTTTATAGTGCTTGCATCAAAGATTTTAAAAAAAGTTCTCATAACTGGATTAGTCAATTTAACTGAAGTTTATTTGTAAGTGGTATTTTGTTACACCTAAAATATTATAAGAGAATGGAAACAAACATATAGGGGCAATGCTTTCATTGCACGCTGCTACTAGTGATAAGGGCAATATAATTTCAAATTTTAAAGTGCTTTGTGTTTTGAGGCAGACGTTGGTAGGTTGTAATTGTGTGATGGCAGAGAGAAAGGTGTGGTCACTTCACGAGATGCACGTTCATTTGATTGCTCACTTTGGACACTGACCGCTGTTGAAATAGCATAGCTGTGTCCTTCAATATAGCATGATCATTTCCCTGCTTCTTTGTTACTTACTGCAGAAGCGAGTCCTCCATCTCCAGTAACATGCCCTGCTTGCCTCGAGAAGCACATTTCTGCTCATTTGCTTTTCCAACCAGACGTTCTCGGGGGCACCATTGTCACATGCAGTTTTAATTAATTTCTAACAACCAGCCAGCTGCCTGGGTGTTTCGCCAAAAAGAGTTGCGGAATTCTCACACCTCACAAAGGCTAACGCTGCTAACCTCGTCCAAAACCAAGGACGCTGCTAACACACTGGTGATTTTCAAACACACTTTTGGGGTGGCTTTTTTAACGAAGTTCAGGAGGTGACTTTTACATGGCCATGACCATTGCATGAGTGTACAGGGTGCCTCAGCTAACTTGCACTAAGTGTAATTTTAATTTCGCCTACTTTAATGAAGAGCTGCAAAAAATTAAACAAGGTAGCTAGCTTAGCATAGATGAAATATTTTAATTTTGCTGAACAAATATTAACATTTTTCTACTGAATATTTTTCAGTAAAGGCACTATAGTGCTTTTAGTGAAAAATATTCAGTAGGAAAACGATAATGCTTGTTCAGCAACATTGGCCAGTAAACAGCCCCACAGTCGAAAATGTGTGAAGTGATAACTGTACTCTTGTATGATATGAACATGCTGCCACAAGAGTTTTACGAATACGTGCAGCAATAAGAATGTTACAGAATGTAAAACAACCTGCTTTGGCTGGTTTTGGTTTTTCGCTCGATTTATATACCCACCCTTCTCAAAGCCAGGAGGGTTGGGGTAGCCCATTGTGACAACACCCCCTAGGCGACAATGGCCACAATGCAGACGACCAAGAAAGGGTTCTTCTGTGTCCCTCGTGTCAGAGCAGCGCTAGGTTAAACCTGGCAACACGGTGAAAAGGCACGGTAAAAGCGCGCCCCAAAGTGCAAATGTGTCGCACAGTGCACAGAACCAATCGACGAAGCTGGTGATGCAAACCGTGCTCGACATTTCGTCACTGCGTGTACGATGAGATCGGACAGACGCAGAAGAGGATCGTGGGATTTTTTTTTTTTTCGAAATGGAGTGTCACCACGACGCACTGCACTGTGATATTTGTGGAGTGCGATTGCCACGGCCTTCTGCATGAAGTAACGAGCAAGTTTTGCAGGTGTCGGAGCCCGTTCATTGGCCCCTGATGATGTTTGATGTTTTATGGCGCAAGGGCCATTTCACGGCCAAAGAGCGCCAGTTCATCTTACTAAAATTATGGACAATGATTGTGATAAGCGGCTGTATAAGGGCCATAAAATTCCTCGCAGTAAGGCGGGTAAAAACATACAAGTAATAAAATCATGACCATGCGGTGAAAGGTGTGTGTGATGTGAATAGATGACAAAAGTTGGTGATAATAAAAGACGATGGTGCATATGTATGGCATTAGCACAAGTGCCTCACTCGTTCACACCCTTGCGTCCAAGGGCCGTGAGGCATGTGCTTTCTTGTGTAGCCACCGCAGCAAAAACCTCTCTGGAGAGGTCATGCTACGGTATGCCCGGGTATATGACATGAAAGCTATGAATTTCTTTTAAAAACGCTAGCAATGATTTATAACTAAAAAGCGGTTCCCTACCGACAAACATTGCAGGGTGTAAAGGTATATGTTGTCGGTAGGGTAATGGAAAGTGTTGTTTTCTTACAGTGTCCAATTGTTTGCACTCAATTAAAATGTGAAGGACTGTCAATGCTTCACCACATCTGTCACACAATGGTGGATCGCCACCGGACAAAAGGTGTGTGTGTGTCGTGTATGTGTGTCCTATCCTGAGTCTCGTTAGTATCACCTCTGTATAACGCGATTTCGATACGGGCGGCCAATGACCAAGGTGTGGCTTAATAACGTGTAGTTTGTTTTGTGTGTGTGTATCCCACTTGCTCTGCCAGTATACTCTGAGGTTTCGTTTGAGGGATGGTTTAAAATCGAGGGCCGGGATTGATATTGGTGTAGGGGCAGTGCTTTTGTGCACGAATGCAGCGAGCTGATCCGCCCTCACGTTGCCTTGAATCTCACGGTGCCCTGGCACCCAGCACACTACAACATGTTGTTTGAGTGTGTAAAGTGTGCATAAAATAGAGTAAAGTGAGACAAGGACTGGGTTTTTTTTGTTTTTTAAGACTGTGCAGAGCCGTTACCACACTTAGGAATCCTGTATAAATTAATGCTTTTTGTATTTGTAATTGTTTGATGTATTTAGCTGCCACAAGTATCGCGTACGCTTCCGCTGTGAAGATACTTGTGCGTGGATGTAGTGGACCAGCATCCGAAAAGGATGGGCCTACAGCAGCGTAGGACACAGAGGAGTTAGTCTTGGAGGCATCTGTGAAGAACTCAGGACATGTGTATTTGTGTTGAAGTTCCAAAAAGTATGTTCGGATATGGGCAACAGGTGCATGTTTGTAACTTCTAGGAAAGACACATCGCAGTCTATAGTCTGCCATTGCCACGGTGGCGGATATGCTACAGGATCCATTAAACTGTGTTCTAGTCTAGAGATTCCAGTTTCCTCAGCTAGACTCTTCACTGAGAAGCTGCCCGTCGATATTGAAAGGGAATGTTTCTTTTGTCATCTATAATTTCAAACGTATTGCTGATGTTGTGATGTTACCTTTTAATGTTTTATGCTACCTGTAAAGTATTCATCTTTGTTTTCAGCCATACAATAATGCCCGTTGGGTGCTGTAGTATCTGAATAATAGATCTGAACAAACAATTAATAGGAGCAGTACTAAAAAAAATCCAATTTATTCCCATGCACCACAATAACCGTATAAGGGCTCTGAACAGCAGTGATTTTCTTTGAGCGACAATCGGAAAGTATTTAAAATCATGCCGGGTGCTCCTCCAGAAGGCAACACATATGATGAGCAGAGCTAAGTTGGTTAATGTGGAGCTATTTATGACTACTTTCAAGCGAATCACTGAGTGCGGAACCAAGAACAAACGCAGCTGCTGTCTCCAGACAGTCTATGGTGACGGTGCACCCGTCATGGTTTGTCATACAGTGGTGTACTGGTGGCAAGAAAAAAGCCCTCCACAAGGATTGCGACGCTCAAACATGCATTTGAACTGCCGCTCTTTAGGGCACTGCTAAAGATGCTCACAAACATTACAAGACGCAATGCCGATGCCATCCGTACATGGCATCCTAGGGAAGAGCAGGCGTTACAACAAAATTCTACGCCTATGCATCCCTTAGACAACTGCCCAAGAAGATCTTGTGTCTGTCGGCTCCACTGGTTGCCTACCTTTAACAAGTGAAATGGTCTCAACTTTTTTTTTTTCGTTCTTTATGAGGCTTCAGAAGGTGACATACTCCAGTCTCTCCATTCACAGTCATTAATCAGACATTTCGGCCCTCCGTCCGGACTGTCAAGATTGTAGTAGCTTTAGACACATGTTCTGCAGAGGTGCCCCTCTTTACCGGGAGAGCATCAAGAATTTTCTGAAAAACAAACACATCAACAAGCGCAGTTGCAGCCACGCACAAGAAATCAAGGCATGAAACACTGCAGATCAAGTATTATAAGAATGCAAGTACACCCTAACCCACACATGTTCTACGAGTTTGTAATAAACACTTCAGCACCAGGGCAATTGCTTATTTCACTAGGACTGAGTGAGAGACTACAGGACACATGCTCACATATCTTGCTATTTCAGCATGGCTCCCATAATGTCTTGCCAATTGCCTTTTGCCAAAAACAATGCTTTTGTTGATGACCTGTCACGAATTTGCACAATCTGCAAACAGTAGCTGTTTCAGACTTTATAATAAAAGAGATAACTGACAAGCAGTACCCGTGTATAGTACGAAACCACAGGAAAATTTATCTAGATTTCTCAAAAAAAAAAGCAGCTTAGTTGATGAAAAATTTGGCCTGTTCCGAGGATCAAGACAAACACTCTTCTTGAGCAGTTGTCCTTCCAGTTAGGCCAGCGAGGAAGCTTGCAACTGGAAGTGTGAAGGAAAATTCATCGACAACTTGATGCCCCCAGATACTGAATGTTGCAAATGAGTTCTGCAGAATCCCAAAATGTGGTGCAAGGGTTACGAAAGGGATACCCGACAACCACCTGTTCCTATAGCATAAAGCCACACAGAAATCTGCACGGATTGATCAAAAAGGAAAGCTTCCTGGTTAAAGTTATGAAGTTATGCTAAATGCTCACCTCTCCGTCATTGGCAGAGGGCAGCACCGAGGGCGGGGTGGGAGAAGAAGCTCCGACAACAGGTGGCGCTGTCATGGCAGTCCTGGGCTTCTTGGTGACGTCCTGCGGCTCCGGGTACATGGACAGCATACCGTCTCAAGTGGATGCGTCCTACAGGTTCTTCCAGGCTGCCAGCCGCTGAGCCAGCACTGTGCCTTGGGGCTCAAAGCCCTGCCAAGAACAGAAGCCACAAGACTTCAGGAAACAGCATCTCCAAAATTTTGGCGAACAGGTGCTACGAAGCGAGTGTCTGTAACAAAACTCCAAGACAAACATTAACATGGTGACTGGACCACTTACCATATTAATGTCATTGAAATGTGTGTACAGGTCACATTATCTCTATATTTATTTTTTCTTACATTTGAATATGTGATTTGTGATAGAATTCTGAGTGTAAAGTTTACACTCGCTAATTAAACCACAAAATGCCTTGTCTGTAACGGATTCCTGACTAGCCATATTGGCTACGGATGTTTTAGCAGAAATTTTTTTTATAAATCATTGCATTAAAAATAACGCGTTTTTCTTCTGAAGCAATTCTGGGCAAACCTACATTAATAGATAGAGGGCGAACCAACGAAAATCTGTGCTTGGAGTTAATACACCGATAAGGAAACTGAACCTGCCACGATGATCTAGTGGTCATCGTGCTCAACTGCTGACTCGAAAGTTCAGAGATCAAATCCTGGGCTGTTGCGAGCACATTTTCGACGAATGTTAAAATGCTAGATGCCCATGTACTTACGTTTTACATTAAAGAACCCCAGGTGGTAAAAACTTCTGTGGCACTCCACTACAGCGTCCCTTATAATCATAGTGCGGTTTGGGACGTTAAGCCCCAACAATTATGTTCTATGGACGAAGGAGCTCAATTTCATTAGAGTGAGAGCAGCTGCTTCTGGCCCACTGAAAGGTACAGGAAAACATTATGGGCTCAGGGCCAGGCATCAGCAGGAGCCTTCAGAACAAGACACTTAGGCAAAAACAAGAAAAACACCTTTACCTCATTGGGAGCCATGCCAGACGGCCGAAAACCACAGTGTGGTCGAGAAAGCGCGGACATGCTCCCAGCCAGTCATTTCACATTGTTACAAACTATTGATGAGTTCTAACAGACAACCATGCAGAGGAAAGTATTGGGGATGTTATTAGAAATAGTTCTAATATAAATGTGAAGACGGAAAGGTGGACAAAAAGATTACTTGCTGTGGTCAGGGGTTGAACCTGGCACATTCAAGTAACGCTGCAATGCTCTACCAAATGAGCTACCAGGGTGGCTATCCCCCCGTCTACTACATGGATATATACGTGCATTAAATGTGGGAGCATATGTCAGCGCCACCAGTAGCCATGATGGCGAGGGTGGAACACTTATTACCAGCCTGTTTGGTGTCACGTAGCACCTGAACCTATTACAAGCTGGCAGCTGACTGATAATCTCTCGAATACTACCTGGAGGCACCATGTTTTCCAGAACGAGACCCTCGCCAGTGGCCACTCGTAACGTTCCGCTTAGCAGGAATTGCACTTATTGAGAGATTAATAGCAGAGTGGAATTAAAGTACAAAACCAATCATAGTAGAGGAGATTGTTTCAGTGAAGCAGCATTTCTGTTTAAGAGATTCCCCATTTACTGAGAATCTACTGCTTTCACTCAGTACGAAGTACAATTGGTAGTGACTTTTTCATTCGCCAATAACAGCAGGTGCGCTCGGTCCTGCTCTCAAACTGTAAATGCACACATTTCTCATATACTGAGCTCCCAATGTCGTGATGAGTAGCACAGGTAGGGCACGAAAAGCAGAATGTAGACGACTCAAGTGCTGTCTAACAATGAAAATCTTGCGGAAAAAAAACGTGGCATATATGAACAGAAGAAAGGCACTAAGAAACATTACCATACCCCCACGCAAAGCATCTAATCATATATGCTGCTAATATAAAACGTCAGCCTCTGTGAGAGAGATTGCAGGCTGGTTCGCGCCCTCGTCTTTTACTTTTACTGTTTGCAACGCTTCCGCGATTTCACGCCCGCTTCGGTCCTTGTGCCTCACACTACAGCGGTCTTGTCTAGCTTTCTTGTTTTTTGTGTCCATTCATGCAGATCATCATGACTAGGTTCTGAGCTAGCCCGATTTGCTACATTACCTCGAGCTCCCCAATTCATATATAGGCTCTCTACTCACATCGTGCTCATAGGAATTCATTCACAGTGTTCACTGTTACATGCATAAGCTTCACACCGCAGTTCTTGTCTGGTTACTACTCCATCCCTTTCTATACAGCAAGGTACATCGAAAGCCAGGGCAGCATTTAAACCAGCGTAATGTAAACTTCCTTGATGCTAATACTACAAGTACAGTCACAAGGTACCCACTACCCATAATTATAATTTTTGGAAGCACCCACTAGGCCATTATTTTATTTATTCATTCATACTGCAATCCCTATTACAGAGATTTTAGCAGGGTGGTTACAGATATAATTTTCACAATGTTGGCACTCAAGATTGCATAAACCAAACAAACATACAAAAAAATAGAACAGCATGATGTTAACAATCAGGTCAAATTTGCTGCAAACAACTCTAAGGACGGCTCCATCACTTGGTTATTAGTTATCCATTCCCCTGAGTTACTGTACGAGGAAAAAGGAATATTGAGCAGTTATTTCGGGAACGGAACGGGGTTATTGTAAGTTGATGCCTTTGGCGGGTGGCGTACCCAGAAGAAAAGGAAATGATGTTGGAAACATCAAGCTTATAATGCCCTTTAATTATTGGTAAAGAAATTGTAGTCGTATAAAACGATTTCTTTTCGGTAACTGAAGGCTCATTGGCACGATGTAGGAGTTCAGTTATAGAAGTGCGTCCAAAGCTATTAAATATAAAGCGGACTGCCTTCTTCTGCACGTTTTTCCAATTTAGTTATGTTAGCTTTAGTGAAGGGGTCCCAAACAATTACTCCATATTCTAACACTGGGCGAATAATAGTCCTGTACGCTAGAGTACGCACCGTGGAATTAGAATGTTTTAGAGCTCTTCGAAGGAAGAATGGTTTTCGGTTAGCGTTTGTAACTACGGAGTCAATATGTTTAGTCCAGCTAAGGTCATTGGTAATCCAATGCCAAGATACTTAATGTTAGTTACCTCAGAAAGGGTTGAACTTGCGGTGGAAATAATTAATAGTAAGGGTTTTTTCTTGTGAGTTATTCGCATAAATATTGTTTATCGAAGTTAATTGACATCTGCCATAAATCACACCACTTCACAATGTATAAAAGGCACTATTCAGAATGATTTGATCGGTTACATTGGATATTTCAGAATATATGACACAGTCATCTGCATACAACTTGATTTTTACAGGAACTTCATTCACAATATCATTGATAAAAATTAAAAACAAAGGGGTTCCAAGAACCGGACCCTGTGGGACGCCAGAGTCAACGTTGCCTCTTCTGAAACAGCATTTGCTTAAAACAACAAATTGTTACGGTTTATAAGGTGTCTGCTATCCATTTTATTAGGCGTGGATTTGTAGTGTTTTCTCTAATTTAAAAAGTAATTTCTTGTGTGAGACTTTGTCAAACGCTTTTGAAAGTCCATAAAAATGGCGTCAGTTTGTGTCCCATTGTTAATTGAAGTTGCGAAATCGTGAATTGTCTCGACAAGTTGCGTACAGGTTGAATAGCCTTTTCTGAATCCGTGCTGGTGTTTTGTTAAGATATTATGCTTACTAAGAAACTCAGAGATATGCGTATGTATTATGTGTTCTATAAGTTTACAGGTAGTTGACGTTAATGAAATAGGACGATAATTTGAGATAAGTTGCTTTTTACCCGACTTATAAGAGGCTTGACTCTGGCGGCCCTCCAATCATCTGGTACTCGACCTTCGTGTATCGATTTTGAAAATAAAACATACAGATATTTGGCGATCCACCCGGCATAACGCTTTAAAAATGCGTTTGGAATGCTATCCAGTCCGGGTGTCTTTTTAACATTGAGTTTAAGTGACATATTTAGAATGCCATGCTCACTGATAACGTCAGGTATAGGTGGATAATCTGCATGGAATGAGGGAAGAACATTATTGTCAATGGTGAAAACCGATTTAAATTGTTGATTAAAGGCATTCGAAATACCTGCTATCATGCACATCAACGCCATCAATTACAAAAACATTACAGTTCAGTAGATGTAGGCTTAATGCTCCGCCAAAATCTCTCAGGACACGTTTTAATGAAGTTTGGTATGATTCACCATAATACAGCTGTTTGTCAATATGGATTTGGTGTTTTAGTTTAGTTGCAATTTCTGAAATCTCTTCGTTTATACCAGCGATATTCCCAAGACTACGACGCTTTTTTAATCGTTTTAGCTTCCTTTTGAGATGCACGTGTCCCGAGAAATCCAGGGGTTCCTTTCTTTCTTCTTTTTAACAACACATGGAACGAAGCGATCAATACATTCATTCACCAAATGTTTTAATGAGTCCCAGTGGCCTTGCACATCAGCAGTACTGTTAAAATACGAGCTCGAAGTTGAGGGAGAGGAGAGCTATAATTGATGTATCGTCAGCTCGCAAAAAATTTCGAAAACATGGCGTTTTTTGTTTCCGTGCCATAAAGCCATTTGCCAGGGTCAATAGTACAGCACTGTGGTCAGAAATACCAGGAACCACTTCACAGGTGGCTGAAGACTTAATACATCTACTAACAAAAAAGAGATCTAGTACTGACTTCGAACTTCCCTGCACCCTAGTGAAATCGTGAACAACTTGTAACAAATCAAAAGTAAAAGCAACGTCGAGCATTGCTTCTCCTATGATATCGTCATGCTTAGTAGTTGAAAGAGAGGTCCAATCTATATCTGGTAGGTTGAAATCTCCTGATAAAATTATCCGAGCTCCTGACTCTGCATGAGTGCACAGATATTTTTTAATTCATTGATGGCTTCAGTGGACGAGGTCGGCGGTCTGTATATGGAAAGCTACATTATATGATTATTATTGTGGTACTTTTGCAGAATAAGCCTTCCACTTGTGGAATATCTGGCATCCTAATTACTTTGAGACATTTCTTAAA